TTTAACTGGACAGCATTACAAATCAATATCTCTAGATATCCTGCAGAGAAGTACTAACCAGCTTCAGACTGAGAGTAAAGGGGCAGATGAGGAGAGTGCTTTACAGTTATCTGGCCAAGGTATCTTTAGCTACACATTCTCTTCCCTTAACAAAATCCAAACGCTATGAAAAAGCAGGTTTCACAACGGCATTTCCCACATAATACAACACTGGAGTTAGATACACTATAGCTATTACAACTGCCACAAAGCCAGAATAAGAACTTGAAAATCGTAAGGAAAAATAAAGCAAACAAAAGCAAATATAGCTTTTGTACTCACCACAAATCTTCCTGAGGAGCAGCTGTACAAGAAACTTCTCCTCAAGCAGCCATATTGCACAACTTCACTATAAGTATTTAGAGAATACAAACACCAAAATGCCCCTTCTCTACCTACCTCTTCTCTACCTTTTTTTCTCCTGGCCCAGCAGTGCCCCCTACCGCCAGGGCCCTCAGAGTGGCCACAGCTGGGCACACCTCCCCTCACAGGTGCAGGTGGTTGGGCTCAGACCAATCCTCCCACATGGCCCAGCTCGCTGCCCTGACTCTGCTGGGGCTGCAGGGTGCTGGGCAGGGCAGGGGGACAAAGGCTGCTGTACTATGCATGTGAGTAGGTATTGTGTTAAACCATTACTTTTTCAGAAAACAATATGATTGTAAGTCAGGAGCAACCTGTAAGCTGTATTCACAGCTTACAGGTTACAGTTACAATATGATTGAAAGAAATAAAGCCAGGCCGCTGGCTTTTGGAGGTCATTACATAGAAAATATCCCATAATCCTTCAAATGTGCCACTAACTTTTGTGATAGCTCTCATCTACTGTACAAGGAGATTGATGACAAGCTAGTGAACCAGTAAGACCATGACAAGACTCTGATAGTTGGGTGCTCTAACTGCTAATTGCAAACAGAGAAGTTTTGTATGAAGGTGGATGGAAAAGGTCCATGCTGGGGGGACAAGTTCAAGGTAACTTGTCAATGAAGGGCAACTTGCAAAGGGAGGGATATGGCTATCACCAAAAGAAAAGGTTTTTGGGCAATGACAATTAGTTTGCTGCTGATAAAATGGGGACAGTAGCAGCTAAAAACGGAGGAAACATGAATGTGGCAAGCTGAATACTCAGCTGCTCCTCTGTTGTTTGGAAATTGATACTTATATGTATTTTCATGTTACTTTTCAGGGATATTTCCTCATATTCAGAGGATGCCAGTTCTGAAGAAGAAAGACATGTTTGAAGATTTAGTAAGCATCCATGTGCAAAAGAGCAGATCTATATTATTTGGAAGAGTCAGTGGGGAGCTAGGCAAAAAGAGGAAATAACACCTTTGACTAAGATCTCTATCTGTAATTTTTTTAAAAAACTGTTTCTCTTTAGTTTTTGCATTTCAGTCCTCACAGATGTTACTTTACATGGTGGAAGAATGCCTATAACTATGAGCACTGTATCTCTGATTAACTTTGACTTTTTGGACCCATGGATTTTTTTAATTGCCTATAAATTCAGTATCTTTAATGAACTGCATGATTTATAAGCAGTTGGCCACTTTAATGTGTGTGTATGTGAGGCTTTTTGTAATGCATGTGAGCTACTACAACGCGTATTTTGGGTGCTGAAACGGAAACAACTGATCGTTCAATAAGGTGCAGACAAGCAGATCAGAAAGTTGCCAGAAACCTTCACTGGCTCCAGTACAGGATTAGAGTTGAGATGGTGATGTTTTATTGTATGCACAGGTGTATGTTTGTACAAAGCAACTACTGCTGGAAGACACCATCCTACCAAAGAAAAGTAGTACATATTTTTATATTAAAAATATCTTAAAAAAATGTTTTCAGTTTTCCAGCAAAAATCAAAATAAACAAATTAACAGGTGTCACCAGCTCCTCTCCTCTTTGCTTTCACGTGACATTTTTTATGGTGCAGCAAAGTTAACGCTTCCCCAAAATTTTGAGTTACGAAAGTGTTAAAGTGTCACATACTGTCACTTAAAGTGGTTAATCAAAAGAATCCTCTTGAGATAACTTGAATTTGCTTCTTTTTTGGTTTGCAAACTCTCTGTAGCCAAATCACTTTCCTCTATCTTGTACTGATAGGCAATTTGGTGTTAAACTAAGGCAATGTAACTTTGGGCAATTAACACTTGATGCTTTGATGAAATGAAGTATTTCCACTGCCTGATTGGATGAATGCAACTACAAAATTCAGCTTTTTGGGGTAAATAAGTTTAGTTGTTCATTCACAGTATCTTTCCTTGAGCATATGGCGATGTTTGTTTTTTGCAAAATGCCTGAAGAAGAACTCATTTGCAGAAATAGGCTCAAGTAGCAAAATGTGTAAATAAAATCTTGAAGTGGTTACTGGGCCTGAACAAAACAAAGTTTAAACGCAGTCCCATGGTGTGAAATGCTGACATTATGGAAGCAGACGGCAGAACTCAGAGGCCTGTCAACTTCAGTAGCACTGAATTGGTGCTTGAAGTTAGGCACTCATTCAAACGCTCAAGAGAGGAGGGAAACGCTAGAGCAGCAAGAGCTCAGGGAGCACATCGTTTAGTGTACTCAGCAACTCCCACCCCCAGCTGCCTCTGCCACAGCTTACCAGAGTGCTGTGTTACTGTGTGGGAGACGGGCAAGGACATTGTTAAAACAGATCCACCCACTCTTGTACTACTGTTGTTCATTATCTAGATTATATTAATATATCTAAAAGCCCCATAATGCCCAGCCTTGTATTAACAGAAGAGACACAATCTTCACCCACGGTCCCTACAGCTATTAAGACCAGCAACAGACGGAGCTTGGTAGGAGCTGCATGCCTCAGCCACATGGGACTGGTATTGCTGTAGAGCAGATGCTACCTGTCCCCATCTGCTCTCAAACTCAAGAGAATGTAAAACCAGAGAAACTATCCGAACAGATGCTTCTTGTCTCAGTTGCTCTTTCATAGGGCATTTTGGGAAAAGGCTAGTGCTTTCACTCTAGATACAGTCCTGCCATAACACCAGGATTCTCTAGGAAAGGGCTGCCGGCATCCTCCTCCTTCCCTACAGATAGCAACAGAGATGGTGAAATACTACTGCTGACCAAGTTGATGTTTATCTTGGACAAATTCACAATAGCGCTCTACCTCAACAGGCTTCTTAATTAACAGGCTGTAGCATCATTTGGCCTTTGAGGGAATGGGGAGGGAAGGATTAGTATATAGAGGAAGGACTGAGAAAACAACCTAGTCTCTAACATGAGGTCACACTATGGAGAACAGTTGGAAATTGCTGCTGTAAAGGAAACAATCTATGTTATTAATTGTGCTGAAATAAAAAAGAGATGCAATTAAATGTAAACTTGCAAGTAATAAAATTCCTAAAGGAACTCCTACCTCAGGCATTTTCTTGCCTCTGATGGGCTCAAAGCTCAATTCTATTTTATAGCTTAGGTCTTGCTTGCTTTTTTCCAGGTCTCAACAATTTGACAGGAAAACACAACTGGATGATGCTGATGTTTGCTATTCGCTCACTCACTATAAATTGGGGCCTTCGAGGTTGGCTGTGTTAAGAAAAAGAAAGTGCTGTGAGTATGGGGTGAGAGTAGGTTTGCTGTACATTCTCAAAGGAATAATTCAAAATGGGCCTGTGATTATAGATAAGGCATTGCCTCCCACCGCTCTCCCCTGTGACCTTCATTGCAGATCTTGAGGTAAGAACCAGGCTTGCATTTGCAGCTGCTGTGGCTTACTCTTCATCAGTCTGAGTGCAACAGGAGAAGGACAGGATGAGCATGTGATCCAGGTGGGGATCTTAAACAATCAAAGAGGGGCAGGGGGACATTTGACACAGAGGAGGTTGTGACTGTCTCCCGTTAATTTGCTATGCAATCTTCCATTTTTTCCTGCATTGCAAGTCAGAAGCCAGTGGCTGTTCAGGAAACTCTTTACATGCTTGGACTTGTTGTTTCCTTGTTTACTTAAATCCTTGTGACAGAATAAGACTTCCTGTCTGAGGCTGCGCAAATCCATGTGGTCAACATTTTTATTTTTAAAAGAGGTTGTAGTAATGCTTCCCATCTTATTAAATCCCAAGTTGAATGAGCAAGGGACTCTAAGTAAAAAAAATGCTTGGGTTTTTCTAGTAATTAATTAGGCTTGTGATCACAAATCACTGCAGCCCAGAAGCAGAAAGCATTAATGTCACAATAACGAATGCAGCTGATCAAACAACAAATTACTGCGCACACTTTACTAGCATTTCTACCACCACCACCCTTGAAAATGACTCCAATTATTTCGTATTATTTCAATTCAGAGCATCCCTCCGAACTGTAACGCTTGGAGGTATCTTGGACTATATTTTTGTCAGAGATCCATGGAGGGGGGAATCTTAACTTTTTCCTCTTACCTCCTACAGACCTGTTCATGATACTTCACTGAGGTAAGTATAAACACGGCACACATGGAGTCACCCAGAGGAAAGCTGGTAATGCAAGCCCTAGGTACCTTTTTCTCTCTCAAACTACCTCATGCCTGACTGAGGTTGCTTCACTGTGAGCTGGACTGAGTAACAACAAAATAAAGGGCTTGGGATTTTGTTCCTTTCATCTTATAGGGAATTGACAGCTAAATAGCTGCCTAACAGCATGGAAAACACGCTGTGATTATCTTGGTGATTATAATTCATTCTAAAAAATACAAACCCAAGGAAATCTAGGTGGTGGAAGATTAAGTGTTTTGCTGAGCAGCTTTTCTTAAGGACCACATTTTCATTGGCCTTTTCAACCACATCAGCCTAAACCCTGCCTGATTATACATGAAGCTAAGTTTTAGCATATGTAATTTACCTGACTTTTCTCCCAAAGCTTCCAAAATATTTTGCTTTTACCCAAACTGAGTTTTTTTTCTTAGTAATCACAAACAAATTCCTGTAATAATTAGGAGTCCTTTCTCTCTTAGTAAGCTGCTATAGTTCCAGTGATTTCAACTAAACACTTAAGAGTATGTAAATTGTTATTGAACCACGACTGCTTTTGAGCCCACATCCACACACTCATTCACTATTTTTTGTATACCTCCTCCAGAACAATGATAGCAAGTAGCTGGATCTATAATTTCACTCTCTGAAGTGGTACTGAATCATTCATATTTCTCAGATCTTTAAAATACTTTTGTGCACTATCAGAATAAGTGTTTTACTTGTTGCTGTCATCAGAAAGAGATATAGCAAAATTCCTAGGAAAGAACTCAAACCATGGTGTATCAACAGCTGAAGACAGAGAACTGGGCAACTATCTGCCCTTCTAAGGAATCAGTAAGTAAGTGTGTCATTAGTTCATGTTGTCATTTAACAAGTAATTAGCAACTGAAAAAAGTACATCTTGTAATAACATCTTTAATTATCGTTAACATACCCTGTCTTCACTCATTACCTCAATCTTCAGAACTGCTATCATTAGAACAATGCACATTTGATGATTCTCTCTAGCATCACATGTTATACTGATGTATCTCACTGAAATCACCGAAGAGGCACTGTTGTAAGAAACATGCAGCCAACAGGTAGCGATAAAAGGAAAGCAATGAGCACCTGTTCTTTTTCTTGTAAGAATGAGCAAAATTCCTTCTAAGGCTTTCATGTAGCCATTATCATAAGAAACGAAGCTGGGCTGTGACACGGATGTATATCCCATATTTGGTGGTGCTTTGGCCTGGTATTTTCCTTTCTCTTCAAATCTCAGGCCGCTTCTCTGCTGACGTCTAATAGAAGCTTTGCAATTGACTTCAATAAGTGCATCTGTTGTTAGCTGAAGCCAATCATCTATTTACAAACTTCCGCACAGCTTGTGTTTACTTACATGCATATATATGCCTGTATGTGTGTGTGTATAGGCTTGAAAAGTATTTTTAATACTCTAAGAGTTTTAGAAAAGTTTCTGTCAAATACACAGTGCTAGCAACCAAAGAAAAAATACTTTTCCAGTATGTTAGATGCTGTAAGTAGCATTACATTCTTATTATAAATTCTATACTTACATGTACATTAAGCAATAACGGAAAGGCCCTTCTAACGCAATCTCTCTTCGGAGCATCTTTTCCTTTAAATATGAATTCAACTGTTTGCAAAAATGTGAATACTTAAGTATTGAAAAGGCTGACAGTTAAGAATTTATTCCTTCCATTCAGTCTATGAAACAATGATATGACAGATGATAAATCACTGAAACTAGCTGACCCAAGCCATCTCTCACGTAAAAAACAGATGTTCCTGAAACACAAGGCATTATCAGTTATAAAGCAGTGATAAGAAAGCACAGGACAGGTTGTGTAAACTAGTGTAGCATTAGTGAAGACATGCTGAATTTTATCAGCTGGCCCTACCTCTTCTGCAAAGGAGCTGGAAAGCACTAATAGAATACCCTTCTCTAACATCAGTTTACAGTTCCCAGTGAAGTTAGTAAAGGCAGAACTCTGCTATGCTATGTTATGACACTGCAATATCTGAGATACTTTTGAGTCTGGCAAAGCTTCAGCTACCTTCAATATTTCTGTGATGCTGTAAGGTGAATGCTAGTTTCCATCACTTCCACACTGGCAAAGTTACTTGGTTGATGAGGTCAGAGAAGGATCTGCAAACATGTTCAGCTGTAGACAAGAACTCCTGCTTCAAAGCAGACTCCTGAGCTGAAATGAAGAACAGATTTTAGGTCTCTCAGAGCATTTGGATTCTGCAGGCATCCTGAAAAACTCTTTATAAAACTCCAATTTAAGATAGGTATATAGAAACAGCAGCTTTGTAGATCACCTCTCCTCATTACATCCTCATTATCAAAAGCGAGGCACCCTGAGCACTGAACAAAGCTCTGCTGCAGTAAAACCATTGATTACAAAGGGATTTTTTATTGCTGGGAGTCTGTCTGGGACTAGAGTCATAGCTACAGCGTCATAGAAGTGGCAACAGAAAAGACCTCTGGTGCCGTCACCAGTATGAGTGTTCCGTAATTCACTGCAGAGACCGACTTCCTCTTAAGAGCTTTGTCTTATCCTGCTTCAAATTACTCAAGCATTAGGGACTAAACTCTACCTTACAGGAATGTGGCGCTGCAGTAACTCTACAATGGCAAAGGCAAGATTCTGACTTTCCTCTGAGGGTTAACTGATTATGACCTGGGTATGATATTATGGAATGAACTAGATGAAGGAGACAAAGACTTGGAGAACTTTTACCTGGTTGGGCTTGGACAGACAACGCTTCCTTCAGTTTCATCACTAGCTGCTGCAGTTCTGCTTCCTCTCTGACTTCTTTCTCATGAGGTGGTATCTGTACTGCCGTGGGAATAAGAGCTGTATTCCTCATGATTCCCCTGAGGGAGTTTTCTGTTGTTTTGGGCAGATGTGTTTGATTCTCTTTTGCTTCTTTACACTGTCCAATAAAAGGTCTGTCACTCTGCAAGGACACTAACTCCAGTGGATCTTCTGAGAACATAAAGTTCCCTGCAGCGGTAGCCTCTGGTGCCTGTAAAACCTGCATTCTATTTGCAGAGTTGGGGGGATTCACAGATTTCCAGTCTGTACATTTTCTGGAAATGGGCTTTATTGGGGCAGGATTTAATTCACCCTGCACTGTTCCTTCCAGATTTCTTGACATCATGTTTTTACACAGTACAAATGACTGATGGTCTGATGACTGTAACATTGCCTACAACAGACAAAACCAAAAACTAGGTTGCGTAAATCATTTGTACTTTGTTTTGCTGGTAGCACTAAAAAAGGTGGGAAAATAATTTTGGGTCAGATTTTTCTTCTTTTTAATTTCTGGTGAACCCAATCAATTCTTTTCACAAATAAAATACTTCCCTGCAATAAGATGAAACTCTATGTCTGAGTTTGGAGAAATCTATGCGGCCATTTTTTCCCATATTTCCAATCTGGAGAAATTATGCTCTTTAATGTCATTGAAATGTGGGAATAATAATGTTCCAATATTAAATTTGCTGGAAAATTGTTCTAAAATAATTTAACTAAGGAAAAAGTATGTGTATCTGTATACTGAACAGTGTGGCCCATATCAAACACCTCATACATGTTAACGTTTGAAATTCCAAAAACAGGTTTGTTGTCGGTACCACATTGCGCTGGGGATTTTCCCGACAGAGCTATGATGGCAAACACCATACGCTGCATGAATGATGAGTCTGGCCTAACTAGGATGCACTGAACTGACTGTACATGCACTGCACACAGTGTGGTATAACAGGGATGCACTGAACTGATTGTGCATGCACCGGGCACTTACGTGTATGTGTGCGGCCAATCCCACATGTTGTGGACAGGCCAGTGTCACATCATACACGCAGAAAGGTATGACATGCCAGGTCATATTGCAGGTGATATATAGCTGACCAGGTGTACACTAGTGACTTGTCTGGCATTTCCACATGTTTGACAGCCCCTGAAAAACAGCCTAAAAAGCAGCATGGCAGAAGGGGATACACAAATATACTATAGGTGGCAGATATGTATGCATTCTCAGTAAAATAGGGCCATTTAGAATCTCAAGAGATACTTTAAATGAAAAAGAGTTAATATAATTGGATACAAGTAAAATATTTTTCACAAGAGATCTAAATCACATCCCAGTGCAAGACAGCAATTACGAATGACAAAAGAGTATTTTGTTTATCCCATGCCAACACAGGACTCTTCTCTAAAGAAAAGACTGCAATGAAGTATCTAACACTTCTGTTGGAAAACATTTGCTCACTCTTATTGGAATGCCCTCTCATTCTTGTTATTTCCCTTGCAGCGGTATCTAAACACCCCAGACATGGATATCTGTGCTAGGTGCTGAGTATATACAGAATGAAAAGAAAATCCATGCCATTGAGAGCCTATATACTGTCTTTGAAGACAAAAAATAGGTAGATTGAGCAGACAAGCAGAGAGCGCACAAAATAAAATTAAGAATACTGATCAACCAGAAAAGGAACAGTTAATGCCTGGCAACTTCCCATAACTGCGAATATTCTTGGCACATTTATTACTATACCTTTACTTCTTGCTTCACTTGCTGCAGCTTCATTTGCAGGTTTTCATGGCTTGCCATCAGGCTTTGGAGCTTTGCCTCTATTTTGCAGCTTTTCTCTTCCTGGCAGTTGTGAAGGAACTGTACTTGGTCTTTCAATTTGCTGAATTGCTTCTTCAGGTACCTGCCAGGGACACAAGAGGGTGGGGATTTTACTAGACAAAAATAACCCATTACACATACCCATACACACACACCCCCATCCCACCCTGGAAAAGTGCAAATTCTGTAGTACAAACTTTCTCCTCTCCGTCAGTTCAGGAAATAGCTCTAGGGTTAGAGGCCAGTATTTCAGGAGCTGGTCTCCATCCACAAAATTATCAAGAACAGGAGAGTTCCAGATAAGGAAAGATGAGAGCTGAGCAGAAGTGGGGTCAAGACTGACCCTTTCATCTTGGGGTTTTGCCACTTCCCACAAAGGCAGCTGCAACAGGGGCAGACAGACATTAGGGCAGGCCCTCCATCTAGAAGCAAACTACTTATGGCGAACCTTGACCTGCAGAAGATTCCCACCACCTTTCCCAGGGCAGCAAAGGAATAACAACCTCTCTCTCTCTCTCTCTCTCTCTGATTGAGTTCCTTCTTGCTCCAGACATTCTGTGCAGCTTGTCTGACAGTATAGATAGATCTTGCATAGGCCACTGTCCTTGAAAAAATACTGAGTTTTTTACAATGAGAAGCGCCACCCTCCCACACACACCAGTCTTAGAAATTACCTACTCAGAGCAGAGCATGCCAAAATGCCATCCGTATCTCTGATCTAGAGGCAGGATTTGACTAAGAAGTCAGGGTAGAAACACAGTTTGATCTTCCCCATTAATGAGGTGGAGACGTATACAGGCTGGTTAATGCTGCAGCAGTAAACCACCTGTTGCATTTCACACAGCCAAAATAGTTATCTGCCTTGTTTAGTTACGTCCAGAAGTTCAGCAGATTCACTTTCTTTTGGGTAGGCATTGGCTCACCCAATGGCAAAAATCCCATTAGCTTCAGTGGAATTACACAAGATTTGGCTGAATGAACAGTACATTAGGACGTTTGAAACTAAATCCCTTATAACAGCGTTTAATAGGCCTATACTGTAAAGTGCCGACTACCTTCAACCATCTCAGAGCCCAGTCCTGTGAACAGGTACATAACCTCGGTAAGCTGGTCCGCAAATAAGAACAAAGAGCTTCCCTTGAGTAATGATTCACACACTCAGCTATATGACAAACTCTGGGTCAGGGGCTAATGCAGTATTTCAGGAGCAGGCTTCCCAGGCATCCTCTCAACTACTGCTAGCTTCAGTGATAGCTGAGGACACTTACCATCTCAGTATTTTCCCATGTGAGAACAGAGAGTGAGGTAAGGACATAGACTTACAATGAAACTGCAGATGCTTTGCTTTAGCCTTGGAGCACCCTTCAGCACAACAGTACAACAGCAATTGTACATTGATTTATTCGAATGAAACAAAATAGGAACAGAGGGAAATGAACACACTGAAGGAAATGAAGAGAGTAGATTCAGGATCAAATTCAACACTCTGTTTTAACTCCATTGGTTTCAGTGGTCACAAATACGGTCAAAACACATTCATATACAACTACAAAAATGACGGAGGGGAAAGAGCAAGGGTGAAAGGAGAAGGTGAGCAAGATCACAGCAAAGCCTATATCACCCCCCAAAAAAAAAAAAAAGATTGTAGTTTAGGAATGAACATTCAGTCATGTCAAAGGTTAGAATACCAAAACGGACTTCTCTGATAAGGTACTGCTTGGAACCCTTTATTTAAATTACAGCATATTTTTTAGAAAGATATCCTGCCTTGATTTAAACACTTCAAGTAAATAATGAAGTTGGTTTTGATTAACTTTTTATTCAGAAAAAAATTTGGGAAAATATCCTGTTTTGATATTTCTATGTGAAAGAATATTCTTTCTATTAAAAATGACTTTTAGAAATGTGAACTTATCATAGTGAAGCACTGACGAAAGCAAAATGAAATGTTTTGCTTTGCCTGAAATTGTTTTTTCAAGTTATCTTAATTGGCAATTTCTGTTCTTGAATTTTATCATTCACCCCAAATTGATAGGAAACTTTTATTAATCTCAAAATCTCTAAGGTATGGAAAAATGATTTTTCTTCTAACTCTTAACTGGAGCAGCATTGCCCACCAGCCTTCAGTCATTGTACTACTGCATTTACCTACCTGGTCTCATTGTGGATACTTCTGATGGATTCATGCATTTTTAACATATCTGTTTCAGAGGAGGCTATTGCCTGTAAGGAGAGAAAAATAGGTTTATAATTTTATCAGCAACTACCTTTCATTTTTTATGCAAATTTTGCTATAAGCAAGCATAGAAAATTTGGGAGATGGTCTGTTTTACAGTTTATTGCAATCAACTGATGCATGAAAATATTTCTAATGGCTATTAGAACTAGCTGGAAAATTCATTCTTTGTCCTATGGCAAATTCCAAGTGTTTGACATTTTGTTTTGTTTTCAATCAGAACAAATCCTCATTTCCTGGAATTTCTGCAAAAGGGAAGATTCCAATTTGGGAACAGTCTCTTCCAAGTCACACAACTGCTCTTGGACAGGTTGATGGATGGAGACAGACTGATTGAAGAAGGGAGAAGAGAAACTCCTGGTCTTTGGATGGAAGGAGGAGTCCCTGGGTCATGCAGGCAACAGTAGTCACACCTTCTAGGAGACAAACACCTTCCAGGTAAGCTGCTACAGAGGCATGGTGTAAACTAAGCAGGAATCAGGGCTGCGAGGAAATTGTGAGACTAGGAGCTGGGTTCCCAGGGCCTCCAAGCTCATGGATTGTCTGAAAAGCTACCTAGAGTTGCACTTCTGGTCTACATCTTTTTAAGTAAGATTGAAATCTGCCTTTTAGCATGTTGGAAAGAAGTGTAAAATAGCTCAAAAAGAATTCCCAGCCCAGAGAGAAATTGAACAAGACAGCAATGAGCGTGACAGAATCCCACAGCAGGGATGCAAAGTCCTGTCTCACTGTCTTCTGAAATGGCAAGTGCTAGCCCTCAAAATTACATTCTTTTGACTTAAACAATGTCTGCGCACAGCTGCTCCTGGAGATACATGCCGGCTGGCACTCTTCCTTGTGTCAGGCAACAAGTCCTGAAAGACGGGTATTCCAAAGAGCAGCACAGGAATGACAGCCAAAGGCTGTCACACACAGACTAGTTCTCTCTTACTTCACCCATGGCTTTTGGAAAGAGCAGGATGAGTGTACGACACAAACTGGTTTTAAGATAACCCAGTGTTTCCTATGTTCTGAGTATGTTCAGAGCTACCAACCTCTCAAATAAATATAGAAACAAAATACCTATTTTTATTTACACTGTCCCTCTCAGTCCACTGTTTCTGTACAGGGAACCTGGAACTAGACTGACAGAGAGATTTACGCATGATCTATTGTAGTTGGAGTGGACACTACTCTGGGCTCATCCTTAAAAAAGGCCCATTCTGTCCTCTTGATATTGCCATGGTGATAGAAATGGTCTAAGTCTAATGAGAATCAAAATGTCCTCCCTTGACATTTGCTTGCAGAGGGAAGATGTGGTAGCATTTTGTTACTGTTGGAATGGAGAGAGGGCTCCAGTCTTAGCTGGACTTCAATATGCTAATTGAGGGGGAATTTAAAAAAAAAAGGAACAAAGCAAATATTCCTATGAATGCTTCTGAAAGTCACAGAATTAAAGCAGTTAGTCACTAACCTTGGACAGGTATCACGCTTCTGTTTCACCAAGTTTTCTTTTTTCTTTTTCATAAGTGAGAAAAATAACAGAAACTTGAAGCTGTGCATTAAATTTCTTCTTAATTGGCAAACAGAAGGCAATTAAATAGTTAAGTTGGTAGGTCTTCCTCACAGCTTTAGCACTATTTATTACAGCTTCATGTTTGGCTCACCTGAACTGCTGTCTTGCCTTGCTCAGGAGTTTTGGTGTTATTCTCATTCTGCTGCATTACAGTTTTGTTTTCAGATATGATCCTGGGAGACTCCAGGACAGGTCTGTCCACTGGGAAAGGCAGGTTTTCAGAGCCAGACAGCGGTAATGCACTGAGCTTTGCAAGGGGACTGTAATAGTAACAGAGAATTAATGAGTAGAGAACAAATCGGGCCTTGGTTTGGTACCCAGAATGATCAAGATAAAACTAAAGCACAGACAGACAACTGTGCTATGTGGTTAAGCAAAAACCACAATTTATCTATGCCCACTGGTTGTTTTGGCTGAAAGAATGAAGTTCCTTAGAACAAACCCCACTCTTTCAACAGCACTTCAACAGCAAACCCTTCTTTCCTCCCACTAAGCATCAAAGCAATTTGCTGCTTCTTTTTTTTCCACTTCCTTTAGCCAGTAGTAGGGAAGGGCTTAAAAAAAAAAAAAAAGTAGAGAAGGATCAGAAATCCTGCTGTTCAGGCCACTTTATGCTAGGAAAGGCTGAGATACCTATAAGCCACACAGTGACACCTAAAACAGCAACTCCAGATTCTGCTTTATCTCACTAACTGCTAACAAGTATCAGGTAAGCAAAAACCCACAGAGTTATAGAGAAACCTTGATTATTCACAGAAGGATTAAATGGTATTGAGAATTAAGAACGGAACTTTGTTACTGAATATGAGGGAGGAAAAAAATCAGCAATGAAAAATGTTTAGCATTTCACCATGTTCTAAAGAACAAGCATTGAAATAATATTCTCTGTGAAAATCACTGTAACTATCCTCTATTGGCCTTACTGTATATAAAATTTGGTTTATAATAGCAACAACTTTGCCTATCATTGTAGCACAATCAAGTTTTTTTCTCCTCTTTCTCATAAGGATGAAAAGGATGAAATTCATTCCTTTGGAGAGGAGTGACTATTTTCCTCATTTCAATTTCATTGAAGTCTCATATGGAGAACACAAGCAGGATGAAAGAGATCTGCTAGACCTTTCCATAATTACTAGGTAATTTCACCCTTCATAAACTTGCGTTGCTTATCTCATATAATCATTCTCTTCAGTTTCTACACATAAATGTCAAACAACAGCTCAAAGCAAGAAAGGAGGAACTATAGGCAAAATCTTAACAGGACTTCCAGACAGTTCTTTACTAACCAGTATGGTCAGTGGAAATACAGTAATGATCAGTGGAAATACAGTAATGCATTTACACATTAATTATAAGGAAGTAAACCAGAACTGATCTGAAGGAACTGGAACGGTGATGTAAGAGCTCAGCTATTCACTGTTCTGAGTAATCCCACAGAACTGCCATTCAGGGGGACTTAGGAGAATGACTCTCAATGCATGCACTATGGGCCACATGCAGGAAGTACTCAGACAGTTAATTTCCAATGATTTTGACAGAAAGGAGGTGTTAAAAAAACATGCAGTTGTTCAGGGACAGGTACTACGTATTTGCAGTGCTTGATCCTACACTGAACATGGTAAGAAAAGGCATGGAGAAAGAGAGATGACATTAGGAAAGAGGGAAGGAAGACATATGCATTTTATATTTGAGAAAATAACTAGTCATTAGATTGTCAGCATGGCAATCATAGTTAAGTTACAGAACACTGTGCAGCAACTTATCATTTATACTTTCATGTTTTATAGAAATATCACAACATGGTGTGTGTCATAACAAAGTCACTTTCTGAAAAGACACCCTCAAGCAATATCTTACAGCCGACATATATTATTCAGAGGGTATAAATTCACTGGAAACAAACTCACAGAGGACTTCTCCGAGTAGGGAAGTGCCTCTTCTCTGTTATCTCCAGAGCCTTCCTTCTCTGAGCCTCCTTTCTTCTGCAGCGCTCTTGAAACAGGTTGTTCCTGACAGTGCGGAGAAAGAGCTTTGCATTTGCCTTTGCTGACATCTATTGGAATGATGGACAACAGAGAAAGGAGTGAATTTTCAAACAAGCGCTGCCCAGAAGCAGTAAGAAACAAGTGGATACAGTCCAAGGCAAAGGCCAGACATGAGAAAGCAAAGATCCACCTGTTTGACAGCTGAAGAGGCTCATGGCTGCTGGGAGCTATGCCGGACAATGATGCACAGACCCCCTTCTGGCCCAGGAAATGACTGGATTAGGCGCATAACATGGGGGAGCCCTGACAGATTGAACAGGAAAACACAAAGCAAACATGCAGCACGCATCCTTGCAATTTCTCAGCATGGTAATAACATTACCACAAGGTGTCAGCACTGCAAAGAAAAACAGTGCGGATATTTCAAATACTATCCCCGCTCAGTTGTCCACTCCTTGGTGAAGAGAATGAGAAGACTTACCTAGCCATACACCTACTTAGAGTGGAAGGGATGAGAAAAGTGGTTTATTACCAGTTCTTTTATGTCTCACACAAAGGATGTAGAAATGATAGTTGCAGCAGAGAGCAGCTTCTCTTTTTAGCTTTGGTATAGATTTAGGCCATGCAAGTACAGTTTACAGGGTTGGTGTTACAGTAGGGCTTCAAAAAGGAAGCCTGAGTTTAGCTGCAGTATTGCAGCAACAATGTAGCAAAGCTTAATGTCAGACAGTATAGAAAGGGGAGGGGATTTTATTTTAAAAGACGACTCATTTCATTCACTCACACTAACTCAAACACAAGCACTAACATATAAGTGTCCAGGTGGTTTCTTCAGCATTCATGCACTAAGCTGTGACAGACATGGTCTGGCCAGGATCACTGACAGTGACACCGAAGACAAGAGATGCCAAGTATCTAGTCCTCCTTAATCCTCATGGGATCTTCTTAATTTGGTCACCACATGCCGATTTTTGGATGTGCCTTTAGCTCCTTTAGGAGTTGACACTGACTATGATCTTTTGTCTCTCCATTCTGTCCCAGTTCTGTAAACCATTAGGATCTACTCACTGCCTTCTGTCTCCTTATCTGGGTATGCTACGGCTACAGGTCTTGTTCTTTACCTTCCCTTCATCATCTCTTCTTACTAGCTTCAGATGGCAGTTTGTCCTTTGTTTCAGGCTGCCTTTTGTTTCTCTGATCTGAGTGTCCTAAGAAGCTGTGTATGGAAGTGCTGTGATCTCACTGACCATCTGATCTAGACTGCCTTTTTACTAACCCTCCTGCCATTCCTTCTGGTGCTTCTAAATCCATGCCTTACCGTTCATTCTCCATTCAGACTGATTGTAATGTTCCTATTACAAATCTCTACATGAGGACACCTATTGCCATTTGATTCTTCTACTTTCTCAGAGATGGAGGATGAGAAAGGATATTTGGAGGAAGGAATATCTCTCTGTTATTTTTAATGCAGATATTGACCATCCAGATAGAGTTTCCATAGTGTTAACAACAGGGTTTGCTTTTCAGAAAGAGAGTGATGAAGTAAGTGGCTATAGTTTTATGTTCCCTCAGACAAAGGATGATTGCAGAAACAGTCTAACATTCTTCAGTTTCAGTGCAGATACTGGCTATATGGTTATTTTTCATGTTCTAGTGTACAGTTCCAGGAAGGAGGCCGTAGAGTACAGCTTACTAGGAAAACCTTCATGGATGCCTTTCAGCTCATTCAGTGAAACTGAAGATGATGATGTTATACAGGTCCACAAAAGAGCTGTCTGCTGCTGATGCAAGATCTGAAATCTCCTGCTCAAAGTAGGAGCTGATCTTCCAAACAGATTCCCAGTGTTGATTTTCACCATTAGCGTGAAGAAAGCACAAGCTGCCCCTGTAATGGAGCCCAAGTAGGTGAGCTTAGTGGGGGCCCAGGCTGGCTCTTTGTGCTGTGTCTAACTGACAGAGTCAAATGGGTACAGAAGGTTTACAGCAAGGTTGAAAAGGTCTGGAACAAAGGAAGTTCCATGCAAGAATTAGTGCAACTTCAGGCTGAATTAATTTCTGAATGAGGACATGTTGGGACGGCCAGGGAGGAGCACTGGGACACTCCAAGGGATCTTTCCACAGGTTTAAGGATGATCTGCAAATTGCGAACCTGCTACACAGCTCCCTGGGGAGAGGATGGGATCTTCTCTATGACATTTCATGGCTCTATTCAGTTTTTTCAGAACAAAACATCCATTCTAAATTTAGATGCTCCTTTTTTTCCTTACTCCGATTAACTGTTCCCTGATGAATAATTCTACTGTCTCATGGACATGATGGCTGATATAAACACAATTTCATAATCACTATAGTTCATGAGCCTATTGCCTAAATGCCCACATGAAGAATCTGAACAGGGAAATGAATCAGTACAATCGGACTGTACCTGCACACAGTGTTCCACAACAGGATGTGACCTCTTATGCGGTTTGTTGAGACGGCCAGTGAAAAAGCAGTCCTGGCAAAGGTCAAAATTCAGGCACTTCAGACAGCGATACCTGTGAAGGAAAACAGAAGGATTAAGTTACTTTTCCACTACTGAGAACTTGGTGCAAGTGAGCTGCATTACTGGAATTCCAGATCCATGGGTTCTGGAACGCAGAGACGCACCTTTGTTAAAATAATGACTTTTCCCAGCATTCCCTAAACATAAGAGTTATTTCGTCCGAGTGACAACGGACTAATTCCCAGAACCCACCCATCATTTTTATATTATTTATTTGCTGCACTGAAATTTGGTCCAATGAAGAAACAGTTGTTCTACTACCACTTTTGAGAATGCAGTTACATCTCTGTATCTTTCTTATATACAAGCTTATCTCTAATTGCTACTCACATAGAACAGTAATGTCGCTACATTATTGGTATGGGATTTGTAACTTTACAAATGAATAAGAACCCAAGTTTGCTATTAGAGAGAAGAGGATAACAGTAAAATACTACGTCCTGTGCATTCTGGTCCCTGGGTAATGGATAGTGTTCTTTTTATACCATCAGGCATTTTTACTTATGTGGATAAGATGGTAAGGTGAATAACTGAACTAACCAGTTATTATGCCTGATGATGGGACAAAGCACTAAGATATGAGACACACAGGTTTAATAATCATGTCTGTGATAGTGAACTAAACAGAAACTGGATGCGGGCTTGAGCACCAGCCTGTGACGGTCCTCTCTTTCCCAGTCTGATTTGTTAAATTAGATTATTCCCATTTTTGTTGCTTAACACATCAGTTAGGGCCTATAGTATATGCAAATAACGGTAAGAACTATTCATGTGTGTTTTACAGACTATAGTAATTACTGACACACCTGAGTCCTGTAATGGGGAAATCCTTGCAGACTCTACATCTAACCTGGTGAGAAACCATTTTTGTGGCAGATAATCTGTAACATGTAGGGAGCCACAGGAGAAGCGCAGGCTCTGATCTCAGCCAAGACAGGAATTTTTCTTCAACAATTGCAGGATTCAGAACCTGGAAAGAATATCCATCTCAAGTTCAGGCATCTACTTGAAAAGAGCTGGTGCCTCATCTACAACTCCTAATAAAAATTATGCTAGCAGACCCCAATCTAGTATCTAGTAGATTTTTTTACATTCAGGTAAAGCATTACTGGCTTCCAGAAGTTTTAGAATAGATGTCTGTGGTAGTATCTTACTGAGCATCATTTCTATAGGTACCAATTCTATATGGTAGAATTGACACAGTCCTGCCCCTTTAAAAGTACATAATGGTAGATGTTATATTGTGACAAACTTGCAATTTTAATCAACCAGCAACATTCAAAGTCACTTCCAGGACATCTGAATTTTACTCACCCCATGGAAACAACTGTGAGTAGCAATTTCTACACAAGACCGAGTGCAGCCTTCTCCCACAATGGTTGGGATCTGCAGCAAGAAGAAAGGCTCAGAAACACCTCAACAGAAAACACATGTTCCCATCATGCTCTATTGAGAAGGTGACAGCACACAGATAGCAAAGTGTCTACAGAAAAGCCGTTTTACATACTGTACTGAAGAAAACCTGTTCAAATTCATACCATCAGTGTGCAATTTCATTCTTCAGTATGCGTCAGAATGATTTGCTTCCAGCTCACTTATTGTAATGAATCAACACAGGATGTTGCCCTACCAGGATACTGAAAGGCAGTGGGATTGAGTGTCAGAGGTCATTTTTCAGACCCTGTTTTCAGCACCAGGCCAGCTGGAAATACCGGTATGCTAAGGCATTATCCTGCAAGTGCAAGCAGGTCTACTATTCTGGTGATTACAGACATCTGCAGTTTGGAGTTGCTTTGGTGACAATTGCGTGCAACTGTCAGCAGGATCTGCAGGCTCAGGCAAAATAAAGGCACAGAGGCACTGATGCCAGTGCTTATTTTGACTGCGAAGAGCTACAGAAATTGATACTTTTACCTAGAGTACATGCCTAGCTCTGCACGGTAGGTCCCTATGTCCACAGAGAGCTCTACTGACTTCAGTCCCATAATGCAGTCAGATATAAAATGTAGCAACCTGTACATTTTTCTCCTAGACTAGGATCTCCCTATAACACCTGTTGTCTAACAGCACTGCAGTAGCATTACCTGATTTAAGTCTGTTAGCAGGCTTCTCAGGGCACTGCGGGTAATCGAGGCCTTCTTCCCATCATGGACAGCATAAAACTGAAAGAAAGCTGAAAACCAGAGGAAAGAAACTGAAATCCCAGCGGAGCCTGAAGAATCTTCTTGCTACTTATTTTCAAACTACCTGCATAATGATTACTGCCCACCAAATAAGCCTCTCTTAAGAATGTTCTCCTATAGTTGTGTATTTAAAAGGCACTCAGTGACTGCTGGGACAATTCTTTCTTCCCACAGACAGGGGGAAAACGAAGAAAGCAAGGAAATGAGGGCAATTCCTTATCCCCGGCAGTTAAGACAGGTAAGGATGAAGGAGACACCAAGCTCATTTTCATGGCTATAAGTAACAGTGGTTCTGCTACCATATTGAAATTGTGAATTGCTAATTCCAGGTGATTTGGAAGGAAACACACAGTGTGCAATGGGACAATATGAGGCCAATATGCCACTTGTAATCCATTTGCTCTCCATTTTAAGGGTTTAATTCATGCAGAAATCTTTGTGCTGCCCATTGCATTGGGTGACCTTCGTCTGTTATACTTAGTTCTTTAAGCATTTTTGTCTGAAGTAAAAGGGCTCTAAAAGCTCCTTGGATCAAAAATATAAAGCTTGTTTCCTGCTCTACTGAATTTAAAATTTGGGATTTTCTGTTCTTTTCTGCTAGGCAAGCAGAACCTGGCCTTCATTTTTAAGCTCTACTTATCTTAAACTTCAGTATGACTTGTTCTGAGACTTTGTTTATGCAAAGTTGGCTATGGACACTGATAGAACAGTATGCTTTTGCATCATCTTTCCCTGCAGTAAAGCAAGCAATTGAATTTATTTTTTGCATGTCAGAATGGTATTCTCTTTTAATGTTGAAAAATTACAGTGCAGATTTTTTTCAACATTCAGCATTTTAGGCAGTGTATCAAGTTGTATTTTTCTCACCTCTGTATTTTGCCAGTAGACTGTCTCCTGAAAGGGCAATTAGGGCAGCTGCAGCAGACCTAGTTCTAATGTAACCTGTTCCAGATCTAGGAAAATAAAGTAAGTGAAATTATATTCACCAAGAACGTGAAAACTGAAACTTTGAAAGAAAAAAAATTGTTATGTTGGAAGATAACTTCAAAATTTATGTCCTTTTATATGTATATAACAGATGCAGCATTTTAGTGATGTTGACTTTTATGTCTAGGACCCTTTGTCACCGAACACAACTTCAGTATTAACTGGTCAAGATATTATGCAATCATAAAAAAAAAAAAGAGAGAGAGAGAGAGAGAGAGAGAGAGAGAGAGTTTATCCTTAAAAGACTTCACATTCCAAGTAAAATTTAGCTTTACATTTATAATACATGACCTAAAAAACGTCCTGCTTTTTATTTGTGGAAAGTCTTTCCAAATATGGAAGAGAAAGCAGAGTTGCAAGCTGGTTTACGTACTACGTGATCAGAAAGCTTCACGGGGTCTCCAGACCTGCACTGAACACCTCTTGGGCCGAGTCCCTTTAATTTCACTGCAACTCAGTTTAGCCATAAGGACACAGGCCAGGAGCAAGACTTCAGTTTTAACTGTTAGGAAATGCAAAACAACGAATCTAGCTTAATTTAGAACCTGTGTTTGCAACACAGGCGTTGTCTGAAGACAAAGCAGATGTGATTTGGAAGCCATAACCCATGAAAACTTGCAATGTTATTTTTAAGATACTGCTTTTGCAAGGCGGTATTATATTTTAAAATATCACTACATAAAATTGTCTTCAAGACTCTCTAGATGTACTTCACTGATGTGATACAAAGCACACTGCAGAAAGCTGTAAGTATAGGCTCTAAAGCATAGGCTATATGGAGATCTGTTGGTCAAAAATGTATATGAATATATATATTTAGTCCATGTTCTTTCCAGAACTTTCATGGAAAGATTTTGTTTTATTTTGTATACTTAAACATTGTACTACTAAAAATAAATAAGACTAAAAACTTGCTGAAAAGGAATATACACAGCATATTCACCAGACATTGCTGTTTAATGAAACATACAAAAATCAAACCTGTGACAGTTACTCTCAAATTTCATATAGCATATAATCAAAAATCCTTATGATGGTTTCTGTAGGCATATAAGTAAATTACTGTATGAACATAAAAAAGCCCTTATGTGTCCTTGCCATGAAAAATGTTCCATTATCAGTAGTGGAGAACAGCACGTCAGGGAGAAAACATGATCAGAAGAAAATTAGAAGAAGCTTTTTCTGTCCTGTATATATAGCAAGAAATTTGTGGGAAAAAAAAATTAAAAAAGAAATTACAGCAAGAAGAAAATGATAGCCTGTTTTAGGAAAAAAAAAAGGGGGCAAGATAACCCTGTTAAGAAGATTCTCCTAAATAGTTTCCTTATAGTGGTATTCAGAGCACACAAATTATTAAATACTCTTCATATTTCTAGCTGTTTCAAAAGACACCACTTTATACCAAGTCTGAATTGACTTGAAGTACAAAAAATTCATAATATGGGACCTTAAACAGTAGTGATCATATTATTAAGTAACAGTAATTCAAGAAAAAGTCCTGTGGATCACTTATATCTCACTCACATTCTTAGTAAAAAGCTTTGCTCTGATGCAGAAAGGAACGAATTTCATCTGTGGTGAATAAATTCAACTTAGACTTCTCCTTTCAGAGCTGATGTATTCATGAAACAATCCAGCTTCCTTATTATTCCCAATAGCTATGTGCTGGTCACAGGGGCTAGCTGACCAGCTTAGTTATAAGACAATGTTTTTGTTTCATAATTGGTTGATAAACTTTTTAAGCTGGAAAATAACATACAGTAAAAAGAGACTGGCAATTTCTTGACCTGTGGCATGGATACTCTCATTCACAGGCAAATAAAAATTCGTTTTCACGAATATAACAAAATATCTTGGCAATTAAAAATACCCACTCTCTGTACAAAGCTGTTCACAGAAAAAGTGAAGTATAGTCTGGTTAGTATAGGTCTGGACTTTCAGATAACTTTGGAAACATTACACTGCTCTTTCTCTAGTAAAGCTCTGTGCCTCATCTTCCTACCACTGAACTCCTCTCCTGTGAGCAATGTTTAGCAAAATACCTGCAACATAGGAGTTTGCTACATAAATGACATAAGAATGATAGAAATGGAATTTTTCTAGCAGTACTAGGTGACAGATTTACTCATGTACTTCCTCTCACCTGTCATACATGGCAGCTAGCAGGCTCAACGTGAACTTGGCGGTTCTTGGATCTACCTGGCCTGGTTTTTCTAATCTCACCCTTTGGAACAGCTCCTTCAGGATCTCAGAGAGCTGCTGCACTTTCAGAGAAATCTGCTTTTTCCCATGGCTCTGTTCACTCGGCAGGATGTGCTGAACCAAGGAAGTATCAATCAGATCCACTGTAGGAAAATAAAGGGAGAAATGAATGAGGATCCCTGTCTTCTCATGAATGGAAACTAGACTTTTTTAATTAAAAGTGCCTACTTAAAACAAGTCTGGAAAATGAAGTCTAAAACAGTATGTAACATAAAAAGAAAATAAACCAGGAAAGGTCTCGCTGGGTTTATGGATTTAGCTGAACTTGTGAGGCTAGGAAGATGGAAAACCTCAACTAAGATTCCCCGGATGTGATTTAGGGACAGTTAGGAAGAAAAGGAAAACAGATTAACTGCATCCAAACTATAGTTTTTTAGTAAAGAGGAGTGAGGATTTTTTTAAGAGCACTTTTCAAGTCAAACCTCTGTGCACAGAGATGTAATACAAAACTATGCACCACCGGTACTTCAAAATAAAGCTCACCTGGAACAGAGGAGTCAATTTGTGCTTAGATGTAGGCCTCCTTTTCATGCACAAAGAGAAGGGAGGTGCTTTGGCCAAGAAAGGGGCAAACAGGCTGTATTATAAAACGTGCCACGGTATAGCTAATACCTTCCCTATCCTGAGGGAAGAGATGACTGATATCCACTATATCCTAATAATCCTGAGGGAAGCCAGGACTTATTAAAAGGATCCATCCAGTACAACAGAGAGATGATCAATGAGAAGTAACATCAGAAGAATAAGACTGTCATATATGCCTATATTCATTTCTCACCACCGTCAATATGATAGAGCTGCTAAAGAAGCAGAGGAGAACCTAGAATACTAAGTAAGGTCTTTCCAGTAGAGATGGGAAAGTATCAGTGTGAGACATGGTTGATACTCCATCTGGAATCCTGCACACAACTCTGGGCATCGGCGTTCAAGCAGGAGGAACACAACAAGGTAGATGCTACAAAAGCCAAAAGGGGACATGCAGGACTCTGTAACAGAGCTAATGAAAACAGTGCCTGCGTGAGTCGACGCTTCCATGCTGTGATACATAGCACCAGGCACATTTACTAGATAGAGATTAAATATAGTCACACAACAGCATGCCCAAACTAAAAAACATGGCCAAGGCCAACAAGCCAGTCATCTTTTCTATGCTGCCCTGAAGAGCTCATTTGCAATGATGGTGCATTTTCAGTAACAGACTGCTTCAGGTGGAAAATTCAAGGTGATTTCCATGCAATTTAGTTCAATACGGAATTCACACCCAGGAACTGCAAAGCAAGCTAAGCGTCTAGAACTTTGTTCCATAACTCTCTGTTTGCACAGAGTTCTCGTTCAATTCAAAGCCAAGGGGAATAAATACCAGCCAGGGGTTTTCTGGTCTATTGTATCTTATTTTGTTCTCATTAATATTTATAGCATTAATAATGTCTATCCTATGCATTTTTGATGATCTATGTCTATATCCAATAAATCCATCCCTAAGAAATCCATGAGATTTTGACATTAAGTGAGAACAATAATATACAGATGTAGTTTCATAATTGCTGGTGATGTCTATACAGCAAAGTAGCAGATTGTAATAGCAGTTCAATTCCCCCATGCCTTTAGAATATTACTAGCGTATTTCTACTGACATTCAAAAGGGCAAAAAATATTTGTATATGAACTACTATCTGGCTCTTAAAGGTTTGTAATATACTCTAAGATTCTCAGGTGGAAAATGAGAGAGCAGAACTCGTTAAAACTCATGGTGACAGCAGCACAGCATTTTTACAGATTCTTTTCCCTGACAAGGCACAGGACTTTCTATCTACTAACACTGGCACAGACTTTGTACGGAGCATAGTTTTAGGGCTGTTCTGTAGACGGAACTCTGAACATCACTGAAAGCCTCTGCAAAAGAAAACAAACATACATAACAACAGAATGGTTCGTTCCAATAAAAAACTGAAAATCACATGGTTTAATCAAAACCTGAAATACCCAAATTTGGTCTTGACCATAACCCACAATACTTTGTAGGAAATTTTGATTAAAATGAAAACACTTTCCTTCCCTCCTCCACCACAGTTCCGTTGGGAAAATGGTCTTCTTATGACCAGCCACACTGTGAGTTGTAGAAACAGTATTTAGCATACACAGCATATCTGCTTCTTGGGGAATCAACTGTATTCATGGAGCAAAAAAAAAAAAATATCCACTATGCATACCTTTAGCTAAGGTCACAACGAAATAGTATTTCTTGAAGCAAAACACTCTTGATCAGAATAGAGATGCTCTTATACAGTCAGTTTGTCAACCCACACAGCAGGGTTATTGTTTCGGAAGCATACTGTTTCAAACATTAAACAAATTTTGTGTCAGGACCAACGTCTGGGGCTCAGAAGATAAGCAATTTAACAGAGCAACTGGCTTTTGACATCTCTGCCTAGTAATCCAACTCAAACTGCTTGACTGAATCCTATGCCTTTACGTGACTTCAGCTCATTCCTTTCACATCACTAAATGATGCTTTTCTGAGTGGGATGTGAGTAAGGGCTTCAGAACTTGCCCTATACCTAATGCTTTACACATATACTTAGAACTCGATAGGCTCGATCACAATAGCCTTAGAAAATAGCATGGGATTTATCACTTAATCCTCCTGTCCTCAAGGACTCTCTATCCCTGTCGTTCAAAGAGGAAGAGTTACTCACAGTTGATGAAGGACAAAGATAAACAGCAAATACACATAATTGAGTAGCAGTAACACACAAAACTCTCCACTTGGTTACTTTGGAAATGGGCCAATCTGTGTACAATGACGCCCCACAAATGTACCAGACTAAAGTTAATAGTCACCCAATTATGGGCTCTCTTGGTTCCCAGATGCTGCCTAGGATATAGAAGTAAGCCTCTATCTGCTATACCATCTGTCTAGTGTCGCTCTTGTCAGATTATGTTTTGTGATATTATTTGAAGACGTAGTGCAGTATGTCATGAAATGTGAAAAATGAGTTTTGACTTCCATGTAGTATCATCAGTCCTCTTTCTTCAGTGACCTGATCGAAAGCTCTTTTGAAGGTAATAGAAAGATTTCCATTGTTGTCCACAGGCAATGGATTAAGTCCCAAATGTTTATTTTCCTCCTCTAGGAAGGAATGCAAATGTTAGAAACATACAGACGATCCAACTAAAACACCTTTCATGGGCAGGATCACTTTCTAAGCAGAAGGAATGTTTTAATAGCCATCTGCTAGTCATTTGTTTTTACTATATTTGTTATTCGAGTCTGTCCTTACAGACAATCTGTGGCCTCAAAGTAGGACATTCTGTGTCTGTCGAGTAATAGTTCCAGAATAAACCTGCAAAAACACACAGGTAAATAACACACAAAGAAAAAAGTCCAAATTAAATACAAACATATTTTAGGATTATTACTGTTGAGACGATATTTGAGGACACGCAACAGCTGAAACTTTTCATTTCTGATAGGGATGAAGATTGCCCCTTGGACAGAAAACCAGCATATAACCACCCTGCAGCAGGACACATTTCACCTCAAGACTCATAAACGTCCTTTGTTCAGAAACTGACAGAGGAATTCTTTCATGTATAGAAAAGAGCACTGTTTCCTGAAATCGTCCAACTGCCTACATGCTCGTTTTGCATTTTATGCTATTTATTATGTAGCAGATGAAGTCTCCCCTCAGATTTAACACTCAGAAAGGGAGTGTACAGCCATCCTGCATATCTATGCTAAAATAAATGAAAAAACCCTTAGCATATAAGTAGGACAGACACAAAAATACAGGTTGTACTGTAAGGGTAAGACAGCATGGCTATGTAATTTGGCATTTATGTGTTACTACGCACATTCTGAAAGTGGCATGACTTCATTACAACTCATTAGTTTGTCTCCACACAAACACAGAAATGCCACTTGAGAAAAGTCGGAGAAAACTGACAAAAAAATCCTTACCCTGCAGGTCTGGATCCATTTGAAACGGACAGATGGTATGAGGTGTTCTATAATGAAACAAACCAAAGTGTAAAATCACAGTTTCTGTACAGAGACATGCAGAACCATTCAAATTAAACCTTTTAATCTGAACAATTTACTAGATGCATTTCAAAGATGAAATTAAACAGAAGTTACATAAAACAACATAACAGTTTTGCTGCCATGTGCAGAGAAACTTGAGAAAACTGCATGCAAAGGATCTGGTAGTCCTTTCTAGTCAGGGTAAAGCAGAAGTAACTCTAGAAGCTGCAAAATTGTATGAAGGGGGAAATCAGACCCAAGACAATTCTAAGCGCAAGAAATGGGATCGTCCACTATTCAACAATCCATTGTGCACCTACAGGATTACCACACGTTATTCACAGTGTATAATTCCAGGAGAGGGAGAGAGAGCATATCTTTCTACAAGCCCCTTCCCAAGATTCATTGATTGCAATCACTTGCTGCTCTATTTTCTAAAATTTTGAAATTGAAGTAAGGTTTTAAGATGACCTAAGATTATTTCTTTTTGAGCTAAGAATGAAGGGGAAAACAAGTAAAACCATGAATTTAACTCTTTCACATGTGCCTGAAAGCAGAGGTCATTTTATCACTGATAATAATGGAAACTTAAAGTCTTGCCTCAAGACTTAAATGTCATTACTCCTTTAAATTATATTACCATTTTACACATAAAAACATAAATTCAGTATAGTAGCTATATTTCATTCAATGTTCAAGTTGAGAAACCCTAGGTATAATAGAACTACTAAGTTACATGATGTTCCAAAGGCCATATATATGGCTTATAGTAGGAAAAAATGGAAGTTTCGTAGAACAAATAAATGTTCAATAGTTGGAAACTATCTAAAACATAAATAATAAATTTGACATTAAAGTTGAACTTATCCAAATTTAATTTTATTACATTTTTCAGTCAGCGTGACTGATAATTTGTCATGAACATGACAGCACACTGGCCAATTATGAAGCATAAATATTCAATGATCTATAACCATTGATTCTATCACAGATGTGTTTTAATTGGTGAAAGCTGCAACTTTAGGTTTCAGTCTCTTAATAACCCATAAATATTTAAAATAACGGGATACAGATTTGCTTTTATTTCTTCTTCATTACAGACTACAATGCCACAATTTTTATTGAAGTATTTCTTTGAAAGAAATACCACTATGCTGTTTCTTCACTATTCTATTTTCTTTCTTACTAAGGTTTAGAGCTCGGATCCAGCTTTGGGTTCTGCAAGACTGCAGTCCTGCCCAACATTTACATACGCATGCTTATACAATTATTCCTAAAATGAGTGCAGCAGTATATGACTCTG